CTTAACATAGACAGCATAGAAACTGAGCAGAATAGATCCATAAGTGCTAGTTTACATTAATATTTAAATATTAAAGACTAAAGCATGGGACATAATTTAAAATACATAAAACACGTAAAAAGACGCACATAATGAGGCCGACACGTATGCGCTTTGAGTCATGTAGGAGGTGCGGGAAAAGAATGTAAAATTATTGTTGATTTTTTAACTGCCTGTATATATTAATCCAGACATCTGGTAAGTCAAGGGTGGGGGAGTTGCACGGGGAGAGCAGTTTTGTGAGGATGGCCTCCCAAATATATATCAAGCTCCCTTCATCACAGCGTTTGAGTATTTCCACCTGATTCCAAAGCGCTATGTGATGATGATGTATCACCAATTTGGAAAGTTCCGTGTCGCAATTGCCAAGTGCCACCGAACGTTGGTGTTCAGATATACGGGTAGCAAGCATTCTGGTGGTCGCTCCTATATAATTGGTGCATATTCCTGATATTGGATTCTGCAAGGGAACGGAGTATACACCAGATTTTTCCAGGGTGGAAATAGTATCCCTATCATTACATAAGATTCGTCGCAGACATGGTCGTGGGGCAATAGGTAAACGAAAGCCATTCCGCCTGAAGATCCGGCAGATCCGGGACGTGAAGTGTCCACAGTATGGGAGTGAGGGACGGAGCGTTGTCCAATCTCTTGGTCTGCGCAATGTGGTGGCAGGGAAGAGAGACTGTATGACTCTATTTTTAACATGGATGTATTTGGAGGCAGTAAATCCCGCCGCGTACACCGCTGTGCGGACAGCTTCCAGTTCGGTATTGATAAGATTTTGTGTCGATGGTAGTAAGAATGCCCGTCTGATCATGGGAGCTATGGCCGCATTAACATATTGCTGTGGTTGACAGGCTGTGGCCGGTATTATGGGTGGGATATTGCCAAATTTGTGATAGACGGGAAAACTTCAAGCCTTCCTGGGATTTTTGAATGTGCAAGTCCAAGAAAGCAATTTTTCTCCCAACTTCCTTCTCCCACATGAAGTGTATAGTGGCATACATTTTTGATAAGTGGTGTTCTAATACCAGGAAGGAGTCTTCTGTATCCTGCCACGCCAAAAGAATATCATCTACGTATCTTAAATAAATTAAGGGGTAAGCTATGGTGAGAGGGAATTTAAAAACACTGTGTTTAACACGCCGCATGATGAGTTCTGCCAATACAGCTGACAGTGGTGAGCCCATTGGCACCCCCTGCTTCTGCAGGTAAATCTTTCCATTAAAGCGGAAGTAATTGTGCTCCGTAATAAAGAGTAATGCTTCACGAACTTCTAAAACTTGCTGTGCAGTAAAGCCCTCTTTGATAAGTAAGGTATTGGCTAGCATCACCGCTTCAAAGTGCGGTACCGAAGGGTACAACGCAACCACATCCATTTTATAAAATGTGTAAGTATCTGGATTCAAGCCAGCCAGCGTAGTGCATAACCTCTCTTTAGCCATGACAGATGAGGACACTACTTGGGAGGAGGAAGGAAGTAGCCCACCTAGCAATCTAGCAAGCGCTTTTTCAAGGAAGTATGTAGGGTGGGACCGCTTATTGACTAAAGGCCTTAACGGCCAGCTCTCTTTGTGCGTTTTTGCTTCAGAGAAAAGTCTGGGACAAGCGACGTTGGATGGGGGTCCAAGCGTCCCGAAAGAACTGAAGTAACCCCTGGGAGAGTAATTATTTTCCTTGTTTTTCTTAATACGGCTGGTGTTGGGTCTTCCAGTAAGATGACAGCTTGTGACTGGTTGAGGAAGTCTGTGGCCCTGCGTAGAAAGTCTTCCTCCCTGCATAGAACGAACTTCTTGTCCTTGTCTGATATCAGAAGTCTCATGTTGGAAGTTGATAAGCGCTCGCAAGAATAAAATATTTTAATTATATTTAACGCCTCATAGTCTGAAGTTTTTGAAGAAGTTTTAATTGAGATGTTTACTTTGAACGAAAAGGGAGTTTGGAATTTTTTCCCTTTTTTTAAGTTAGGTTTTAGTTTAGGTTTAAAGAAAAATTTAATTGAGGCTTTTGGGAAAATACAGGACTTTAATCGAAAAGATAATCGGCAAAAATTCCGGATTTCACATTTCCATCGATAGTAAATTTTGCAAGAAATTCCATGTTTGTTCGATTCTTTGTTTTTCAACATTGTTAAATGAAGACAGATGAACAAAATGGTACCAAAGGACACACATTGCGAAAATCATACTGGGCAAGCGCAAATGCAAACTCTAACATACGTTCATGAACTTTGACCTACATTACCCGAGGCAGACCACCATGCAATTAGTCCGGAAAGGAGTAAACAAGGCAATAAAATACTTAGCCGGCTCTAGAGATAAGAGGTTCATTTTGTCTAAAAGCCAGGTGTGTGTGACTAATAAATCTAGAAAGTTCAGCGAATTTCTATAAATTAATTAATTTTGTTTTTTTCGGAAATTGAAATTTTATTATAATTTTCTTACAAATGTTTTTATAAGTTTTTATTTTGCCTTTCTAATATGGCGCCCTCATGATTCCTGTGCCTGGAGCAGTTTGCTTCAACTGCTCCACAGTAGTCGTCCCTGCACAGAAACCTTAATGGCCGCTAATTTTGCTTTTGTGCAAACAGTCGTGTTTGTAGGCACTTGGACTCAGGATGGAGATGGCCTGAGAGACGACTGGAAGAAGTGTATGCTACTACAAATTTAACAACTCACAATATCCATTTATTTACATAGCAATAATATACAGAAGTTGATTAAGATGCTTAGCTGGTGCTAATTTTGTATACTAACTAAAGTAGCTATATTTTCTGTTTTTTAGCTCTAATTTTTATGTTGATTGACTATTTAATAAAACCATTAATGTTTTATCTGAAATGTTTAGCCATAAAATTTTTCCTGCAAAACTCACTTCACTACCTACTAGGCAAAAAAAATTGTATCATATTGAACCAATTTTTTTTTATCTGTTAGCTAGGTAAGTTTTTCCTCTACCAAACAAGTTGAAAGTTTTAAGTATGGAACTTTTTCCATTTCACAAAGTCATTAGCACCCAACTGTTTTATAACTTTCTGAGTGTGAGAAATGGAGTGTTGAAGTTTGTCTATTTCTAGCTAACACACTTTCTGGTTTAGATATCAAATATTTTAAGTCTAATACATAATATTACAGCAATTTTTAGAAGAATCAAATAGAATAAGTGATGTTAGAACATCATTTTTGGTGTTATCAGAAGTTTCTATTTTGCGGAAAATTTTCAATTTTATGCTTCAGAAAACTTGCTTATTTGTCTAAATAGCCTCAAATAATATAAAAGCACAAGTGAAAATAGTGCTGAAAAACCATGAAAGTAATGATTTTTTAGCATTTATTTACATTCTAGATTCTGATTGGTATAGTCAAAGTGGTTGTGGTACTTCCCAGGAAATTTGAATCAATCTTTTCTGAAAAGACACTGATTTGTCAACCTAATGTCATTCAAACTAGAAAAAACCAATCAGAGTTCAATAAGGAATGTACAAATGCTATAACAACCAATTATTTACAACAATGTCTCTCCATAGACTAAAAATAGAAGAAAATTTTTAATTTTTATGTTGGACCAAGAAAATTAATAGTTGGAATATAGTCATACGACTAAAGGAAGCTGATTGCACTAAAAAGTTTGGATTTTATAATTATTTCAAACCATGTCGCCATAAATTTCCTGTGATTGTCAATACTGCCCACAGCTAAAGTAATTAGACTTTCTATCAACAAAAAGGGTTGTAAAATGGTCCAGCCCACTGGTCAGTAAACTTAATCCTAACCTGGCCCTTCTTCAGAAGAGGTTGTGCATCCCTGGTTAATGGTTGTGTTCAGTTCGAGGAATTCACACAGTAGTAGATCTTCACTATCCCATAACACAGTGACCATGGTTTTGGGCAGATGGTTGAGTTTTTTTTTTTTACTGGGGAAGCTGGATGTTTCCATATCATGGACTGTTGTTTTGTTTCTGGGGTAAACTCATAAACCCAGGTTTCATCTTGGTAATGATGCTTTCAAGGAAAGAATTTCCTTCCTGGTGGTATTGGGTGAGATGTTGAAATGAAGAACTCATTTGATTGGTTTTTTTTCATAAGACAGCATTTTTGGCACCCAGCGAGCTGAACTTTGCAGAAGTTTAGGTTGCTTATGATTTCATGAACACAACTCAGGAATGCCAGTCATTGCAGCAATTTCACGAACTTTAATGCGACAATCTTTCCTAATCAAATGTTCGACTATTCAGCAGATGTCATCAGTGTGTAAGATTTTTGGTCTGTCTCTTTTTTCTCTTCTCTGGATCATCATTCAGTTTCATTTGTTCATCTTTAAATTTTTGGCACCGAATTCTAACTTCTTTTCAACTTAAAATGTTTGGACCATAAACACCCTGTAATCTTGAATTTTGCTCTGATTAACTCCTTCGGCTTGCAAAAATCTGATAACTCTCTTCACACTTCGAATGCTCTGTGATTACATATGCCATGTTTGTTTGCTTCCTGGAAGCTAAGTTGAATCTTGAACAAAACACCATTCCAGACTCTACTACTACACACATGAGCGTGGCTAGTCATGCATATGGTGCCAATATTGCACATGCGCAATATTAATAAGTTTGTATAACAGTCAACTGTACCTTTTAATATTGGACATTCCATGCATTTTAGAGAACACATTTTTGTTATTAATTCATTATTAAATGTTGAATACAGTATTATCTAAATATAGTTCATAGTTTTGTTTTAATATAAAAATTTATACTGTACAAATGTTTATATCTAAAGTTTAGTTGGGGATAGTTGTTCAGTCAGATTATTTAAAGTTCAAATGCTTGATTTGAAGTTGTTTAAAATAAAATACAATTATTTGATCAAATAATCAAAAATAATTATCTTTCAAAAGATTAAATTATAAAACATGTTTCATTTGATAGGTTTTATATTTTGAAATTAAAAAATATGTTTTTTAAAGGAAAAACAGTTACATTTGGAGAGGAAGTTAATTATGCTGAAGAAACACCATTAATGTTTTCACGATGCAGTTCTCTTGGATCTCTCAGTAGTTTTGAACAACATTCGATTCAAGATGATCGCAGTTCAGTTATTAGTGATTTCAGGTATATAGAAATTTTCTTTTTTACTCTTTGCTTTTAGTTTTAAATTAAATTGTATTAATTATTTAAAGTTTTGAATGTTAAGGCTGATATTTGAAGCTCAGAATGAAATGTAAAGGGTTTAGAATAATGTTTATTAATTTAAGTATGAAATTTAATTATTTCAATCCATCAGATCACATAATATGTTCATCTAATAGACTGATTTTTTCCAATTCATTAAAAAATATTGCAAATTCTGATAAAGGTTAATTTTTTATATAATTTTTAAAAAACAAATGCTATATATATAATATATGAGAATCCAAACTTTAACAAAAATCAATCATCAATGACACCATACTTGCTCAACAATTGTTATTCTCAGCTACCTGAGAAAATCTCCACGTACACTTTCCTAACGATGAAAGCGACACATTCCCATGATCTGCTGACCTCTTAGCCAGGTGATAATATACTGATATCAAAATTAACATCTGTAGAGTCAGTCACTGTTTTAGTCCTTTCCGAGGAAAGAAGTCGTTGCCCAGTTCCCAGTCGTCAACAGTGCTTCTAATTAGTTCTCATATCACCTTTACGGATACCTTGCCTACTAACAGATATTGCCAAATCTTCATCACCAGATATCACCTTTTTCCAAACTGCTCCGATCATCGAACTGTCCACACGACAACCCTATTACCAAAAACGAACTTAGAAAGTTGGAACTCGACAAGTCATACTCTCAGGTATATTTATCTCAGCACTCAAACCTCGTGTGAACTCTCTCTCTCACAATCACTCTGTTAAAAAGGTCGGTTAATCTAACATTATGATATGTATCCTATAACCTTTTTTTTTGAAATTATTAAACAGTTATTTGTTATTAACCCTAGAGTCTGAGTGCAGTACTTACGGTGCATAGTCTCTCAATCCCTCTCCATCCCGAATTTGATCGCCAGTGCATGTGGCCGCTCACATGACCTATGTTGAATCCGAATCAACATGCTGTACGGCTTCCATGTCAAACATGACACAGTGGTGCATTGAATATAAATAACATATTGAGTATATGAGATAAAGTGAGAGGATCTCTTGCTTTGGACTGGAATGTTGTCTGAAAATTAGTGTTGGAGAGTAGATACAACTAACTGTCTGAAAATTTCATGGAAATCCAATAATTAGGATCACTTAGGATAGAATAAATATTAAAATTTGAGTCAGGGAAGTTGAAATTAACATAAATCGGTGTTGGGGACCATGAAAAACTTTAATTAAAAAAAAAAGAAATATTAAGAGTTACCGACATTTGTGTTAGAATAGTTTTACTGTATATACTCAATAAACAGAAACTGCTTGATTAAAGTTACCAAAATTATTTCATCATTTTCAGACTGATTTTATTTCTGGCCTTTATATTTCATTATGCTATATTTAATTTACATATACACTGAAGTTGTCCAAAACTGAAGTCTAAAACATTTCAGAATAAATAATTTCAGTAACCTTAATCAGTTTTTATTTATTTAATATTATAGTTTGAAGTTTCTTATGTTTAGAAAATATATTATTTTCTTGAAAATTTGTTTTCCTGAAAATGAATTTAAATATATGGACTGTTTATTTTGAAAGTGGTGTAAGTCCATGTTTTTCTTCTTTCAAGATATTTAAACATTTGTAATTTAGTTGATTCAAAAATATAAATAAAGTATACTAAGTTTGACAATGTTTCTATGACTTTTTGCAATCAACTTATGTATTTCTAAAGTCTTCTATGTGAATTTTACTAAACTAATATATTGTTTCTGGGCCATAAATGGACTTACACTACTTTCATAATTATTGAACTGTAAAATTCTTTAAATTTCTATTATGTAAAATTCAGTTTCACTTGAAACATTGTGGTTTATTCTGATTTTGGTTATATATAATAACAAGAAATAAAATAGTGGTGTTTATTCTGAACATTAAAAATATGTACTTATTGTTAAACTATTTTATAAGTTTATCATTATTATGAGCTTACCATTAGATACTGCTTTTCATTTAGGTTCATTACATGGATTATTTTTCCATTCCATCAAATTGTACATTTGTTGGTAAAATTCATAGTTTTACTCCTCTGTTGTAAGGGGCTGTCCATAAATGATGTCCACACTGGAAGGGGTGAGAGGGTTAACCCCTCTCTTCTAGTGTGGACATCATTTATGGATTTTCTGCAGTCTAATTAAGCACTTAGGTTGTCCATAAATTACATCTGCATTTTTCTTGAAATATTTACTCCCCCCTCTTATCCCAGTTTGTCAAAGTTTTTGTAACCTCTTCCCTTTTTGGATGTCCAACATAACTCAACCCCTGTTAAAACATTCATCACTTTATGAATGATAGATACCATAAGTAGAAAAGAAACATACAAGAAACTTTCAAATAAATATATGTTTCATTTCTACTTATGGTATCTATCATTTATAAAGTGATGAATGTTTTAACGGGGGTTGAGTTATGTTGGACATTCAAAGAGGGGAAAAGGTTACAAAAACTTGGACAAACTGGAATAAGAGAAGGGGAGTAAAAATTTCAAGAAAAATGCAGATGTAATTTATGGACAGCCCAAGTGCTTAGACTGCAGAAAATCGACTTACACCACTTTCATAATCAATGGTTATGCAATGTCATTTACTAATGAATTTTTAATTGATCGAAGTGTATGGTTATTTTAAAATGCTAAGTGTGAATTGTTTATAAATAAAAAGTTTACACTAAATTGTATGTATATTATATGATTTCTCAACTTTTCCAAAAATGGACTTACACCACTTTCAAAATAAACGGTCCATACACATATAATGTATATACATTTTTATATATGTACAATCAATATATATATATATATATATTTTACATTTGCATAAAATTAATCAAATTTAAAGATAATTATAATATATCTTTAAATTTTATTAATTTTATGCAAATGTGAAATTTCATACTTAATTTCTTTCATTTTAGTCGTCGAGCTAGTGAAGTTGTATCTCCAAGTGATTTGCCAGATTCTCCCAGTCAGACTGTTCCACCTAGTCCACATAGAGATAAAAAAAATATATTTGAGTTTAAAGATTCAACTGCCCTTCCTGAAAAAATGATATGTCCAGATGAATCATTTAAAGAAAAAAGTATATTTGAAGATTCAAAAACATCATTTGCTGAAGAAGGAACACCAGCTGAATTTTCAAGAGCAACAAGTTTAAGCTCGTTGACTATTGATGATGATCTAAAACTTCCAAAAAACTTGGATTTAAAAGATAAAGCTCCAGAAAATAAATTTCATATAGATAAACAACTTATTGAAAAAAGAACAGAAAAAGTGACATCAGTAGATTCTGAAAAAAGACATTTAGAAGAAAATTCTAGTCATAGTAGTAGCAATGTAAGTTTAAATTTTTATTTATTAAACACATATATAACATATATATATATATNCATGCAGAAGGTACCAGTCACCACTTTGCCAGATCTGCGGCCGTTTACGACGAATGGATTCCCTCAAACGACATAAAATGTCTAGGTAATTGAGAGACCAACTCAACATTTTCCTCGTTCCATGAAGTTGAAGGTTGGCCAGAGCGTTCATCATCTGCGATGGATTCTCGGCCCTCTTTAAACCTTTGATTTCACCATGGTAGAATCACTGTACACCTTTCTTAGCAGTTTTAAAGTCTTCATAGATGTTTTACCTAAACGCTGACAAAATTTAATGTTGCAGCGCTGTTCTTGAAACTCCATTTTTATTACGTCGCAAAACAAAGGTAACTATCTCCGAAAAAAAACAACAGCACTCGTGGTTTAATCATGTGACATGGGCGAAATCAACCTGAACACGTAGGGGTGGTTTGATAGAATCCATTTCATATGCTGTAACTTTAAATACATGCTTTTGTTGTCATACATTACTGCAGTCCCCAAACTTTTGGATCGTACCACGTATATATATTTCACATATATAGTATAATATAATAGTGTGTTCAAAATATTCTTAAATCCAATAGCTTCTTGGGAAATATTAATTTAGGGATGAGTATATGCATTTCTTAATTACTGTAGTGTTGTTCAGAAATGACTAGCTCAGTAATTTTATACTTAATTTTCAGAGATGAAAAATAATTATAAATGTTGAATTCAAAATGAAAAAGATGTAGAAGTTAAATGTTGTAGAATGAGGCTAGTTAATTACATGTAAAATAACTTAGACAAAAATTGTTAAGAAAAGACACTATTTTTATTAAACATAACACTGCTAAATCTGAATTCTTGTATAATTAAAGGCAAAATACATAAAATTCTGGAGTTTTAATATACAGTAAAACCTATCTATGGCGACCACCTACGGTTCCTTCAAAAAATGGTCTTTTAGACAGGTGGTCGTCCAATACAGGTGGTGCTGTAATACTGTATTTCTGTACATATTTTGTGCACTTTTTAGCCATTTCTACTAAGAAAAACTCGAGGTGAGCAAATAAAAGCAAATTTTTTCAATGACAGGGCTATATTGGTATTGTATTTTATTCTTATTGGATAACTCGATTTACAGGAGTTTGTTGTGATTTTATAAGACAGATTTAATACCAATATTTTAAAGATTAATACAATATTCGCATTTTCTCGATTATAACACACACTTTCTTTTTTCCGGCTTAATTAATTCAACTCGGTTGTTTTTGTTCGCTCCTCAGTTACGTGCATTACGTCATCGATATACAAGCGCGTTGTATTTCTACATCACTTTGGTTTTGGTATTTGCTAGTTTAATCATATTTTAACTTTAAAAATACTGTATTTTTAATATTTAATATTTTCTTAAGTACAATAAGAAAAATTATTAAATAATAATAAATTGATTTTATTATTTTTTCTCATTGTACAATTTCATTACATTCCGCGATTGTCATTGCGGAATAAAAAAAGGTAGGTTGCCTGTAAAACTGAGTTTTGCATTAATGCGTTTATTGTTTTTTGAATATTTTGCATGTGAAAATGACTTGGATATTATTTTCCTTAAAATATCAGGGAAATAAGGTAGGTTGATATAGAAACTATTTATCGCACATGTACTGTACATGAGCTTCAAAATAAATAGATAAGTAAATAAAAATAAATTTTATCAAATGAAGAGATCAGCCGATTAATTGTATAGTGTACAATATTTTATACCCCCAAGGAAAATACTGTAGGTCTACGGTAAAATAAATTTCGTTTTCCACAGTTAAACTTCGCCGCTAATTGCTGTTGTGATGACTTTAATACGATCTTCTGACGACAGCACTTTGCATTTCTTTCGTTTTTCGGACATTTTCCAACAAACTGAAATAAATTTCCTTTGTTGCTAGACTAATTTATTAACATCTGCACCTAATTTCAAGGGTAGGAAAAGTGCCCGGGATGGGTTCGAACGTCGAACGAGAATTTAGACTAATTCATTATATTATGAGGTGGAAACGTTGTTGAGATGGGTTCTTACAATAGTTTAGACCAGATACATTTGCGAAAGTGGTCGCTTATTACAGGTGTTGTATGTTGTTTCGGACCAAAAATTGATGCCCGCGGTCGCGTTACACAGGTGGTCGTTTAATACAGGTAACTTATACGAAGACTCTATGGATAAACTATTCCATGCCAGAAATTTTCGCCTGTTTTGACAGGTGCCCGTCGAATGCAGGTGGTCGCCTAAGCAGTTTTTACTGTACTTTTATCCCATAAATACGTCAAAATTCAGCTTACATCATTTTGTTGTTGTGATCAGGTTGGGTAACCTAAACAATTGCAATTTAATGATTTAACAAAAGCCAGATGTCTTAATTTGAGGCAGAAGTCTCCAGAAATGAGTGAAGTTACAACTTATTACATAAAGAAAACAAATGAAAATAATTCTTTTATATAAAACTGAACTCATTAAAGTAAACTTATTTTATGTATTTATCTTATTTGTTTTTTTATTATACAAGATCAATCTAGCTATTTACATTGTTTTTTTTTATTATTATTTTGAACAAGCCTTCAGTTAATAATTTCAGCCAAACTTAAAATTTGTTTGAATAAGCATGATGATGATGTGAGGTAGTTTTTAGTTTTTGTTGTGGTAAGTATACAAATAATGCATAGTGTTATTGTCTGCTTTAGTTATTTGGACGATAGCTCAACTAACTATCTACTTTAATCCAAATTACTTTATTTTAATAATTAAAATATGGCTTTTTAGACATTGGTATTAGTTATGTATTAGTTTTCATTGGTATAATGTTAAGAGCTCTTGCTAATACAATTAAATTCCCATCTCATTGGTCTCCCTAAAGTTTGCATTAGCATTTCATTTTTCAGTTTTTCAAACTATTTTTTTTTTTTAAATAAACTTTGCTGAAAATTATGAATATGTCTTATAAAATTGGGAATACCAAAATTATAATAAATTTGAGACTAGAAATGAATGGAAAATAATGTCATTATCTCTAGTATAAAAATAATACATAATCAGTAACTATTTTATTTCATTATTAATAAATTATTGCCAAGCATTTTAAAATTAGTATATTATAAGTTCAACATTTTCAATGATTTAATGTTTTTTGCTATTAAATTTGCATTTCATTCAATGTAATTTTTGTTGAAGATCATAAGAATTGTTGTCTTGTTTAGGTAAAAAAGGAATGGTGAATAACTTTTTACATTTTAACTCCTAACCTTTCATGAAAGGAAGGAAATAATACAATTAAAATAGCAAGCACACTACATTTTAATAGAAAGTATTGGAGAACAATCAGCTCAATCTAGTTTTTTCTCTTTTTGTTCATTTTCTAAGTGTTGAAGACTTATTTTTCTACTAATTCCTTTCATATAATGTCAAAGATAAAGATTTATTGTACAGTGCTTAGAAATATCATTGTGATCTTTTGGTTACAGAAATATTGTACTTACTACAAAAAATAAAACTGAATTGTAATTTCTCAGCAGTTTTTGCTTGTAAGTTTGAAAACAAAATGGATCTCTTTTTCACTTTTAACTTTAATTTTTTCCTAGTGATCCTAAAAATTAAGATTATTGATATGATTATTGTGAGTAAAAATTGGATTTTGTAACTACTAAAGGGCAAAAAAGTAGCAGTAAAAGTTTTTGAAAATTAGAAAAAAGTAACAAATTCAAAATAAATTATAATGGAAAAGAAAAAAGGAAACAGTCAAAATGACCACTTTTGACTGTTTCCTTTTTTCTTAAAAGTTAAAAGAAGTGTATATTCACTGGAGTTCTAGCATTAATCATTTACAGTGAATCATTTTATTTGATGATTAATAAAATGACAGGAAAAACTCCATAGAAAGACTATTGCTGAGTTTGTGAGTTTTAGCAAATACAGCCTCTTATTTTGATATATTCACAGAAATATATAATTCAGTACCCATTTTATTTATAAACTTTGAATCTTGCTCAAAGTAGATTGGTATTTTTGGATATGTGTGGAGTAAGTATAAAATGAAAATATTTTGGCATCAGATATATTTCTGTTTTCAATGAATTTGTTTTGGTGGACAATCTTTAATTTTCTTTTGGTTGATCTTATTTTAGATTTTGCAAAAATTTCGGTGTAATCTTGCAATAAATTAGAAAATATGCATGTTTTTTTCGTAAACATGTGGAAAACTGGTGCATACCTCTAGTTATGTTATGCTACTTAGAAAAGATTGGAAATATATTTTAGAATTTATTGAATAAAAACAGATTATTTTGATATATTACACACTTATCTTTTATTAAATGTAGAATAATTTTCTCATGTCTTACTTTTCTAATTTATAAAATATTAAGACCAATTAGTTTATGTTGTTATAATATCATATATAATATGTCCAGTGGTATATCATTGATTGCTAAAACTGTATAAATTCTAGTTTACTATAATAATGGAAGTGTTGACAATTATTATGGGTGTAATTAATGAATATATACTCTGTTGTTGATGATTAGTTTATTTATACAGCTTTATATGTTTGTTATTGTTTGTTTTTCTTAATAATAATGTTATAGTTTGTGCAGATATAATCTAAATTTATTTATTTATACCATTAAACATGGCTTGGCATAGGATAGTCTGTATGGCTCTTGTGCCAAAAGAACATCGAAAAACCAACCAATTAATGAATATAGGTAGTGATATAAATATGATATTTCATTAATGTCTCTGCCAAGGGTTATGACAGATCTGAATAAAAACATATCTACTAAAAAAAAACTGTTCTAGTACGTGCTGTAGTATATATGATTATATTTAAAAAATTTCCTGTGTATGTGGCATGTATTTAATATTTCTGCTTTCTTAATTCTTATGGTTCTATAGTGTGATGTAAAAGTTATGTTTAAGGTCTAATGTTTCTGGATTTTTGT